GGTCGCGTGTGCGTACACATAACAGCACTGGCAGCAGTATAGACTATATAGCATAGTATATACCGTCAACTACGGACTGGTCTCAGGACTTGGAGAAGATTTGTTAGAAGAAATCCTTCGAAACACAAACAATCAAGAGAGCTCTGATGATAGTGACCTACAAACTAACCAGAACATTCCACGAAAAAGGGGTAGACCAACTATTACTCTTCCAAATAAGAGCCGCCGCACTTCTCAGGCAAAACAAATGCCTATATTGGAAGAGAAACAGTCCAGGTACAGGTCCTGTCATTACAACAAAACACAATTTAAACGTAGTTCATGTCATATAAACTTGTGCTTAACTAAGCAAAGAAATTGCTTTGCTGATTTCCATTCCTAACAATTTTTTAAAAGGATTTAATTTTTTAAAGTTTATTAAAATTAAGGTTTTGGTTTATTTTTATTTTTTGTTTGAATTGTTTAATTATTTTTAAGTCCAGAGAGGCTGCAATAAAAATACTTTAATTACTAATTAAAGAGATGAAAATTTACTCTAGTTTTATTTACCCCGTTGTACCAAGTGTCTTTTATGAAGAACAAATAAAATAGAGCTGATTTTTGTAATTCTGCCCAGTGTACTGTAAAAAGAACAAAATGAATGATTTCAAAAATAGCTTAAATTGTTTCATTACGATCTATTTACTGCCATAAAAAATATAAAAATTTTATTTCTTATGCAAGGCAAGGTAAATTTCACAGTACGCTAGCAAACCGGGTTCGATCCCCGCCGGCACCAATAAAATTGTTAATTGCAATTTTAGGTGCTGATTTACCACGTGCTCGGCGGTGAAGGAAAACATCGTGAGGAAACCTGCATGTCTGAGGAATAAGAGAAAAATATTTCGAAGACATGTGAAGTTCGCCAACACGCATTGGGGCAGCGCGGCGGACACTTCCTTGCCCTAAAACCCTCTCAGAAATGAGGGGAGGCTTGTGCTCAGCAGTGGGACGTATATAGGCTGTAACTTTATTCTCTACCAATCAACCCTAGATTATTTGAGAAACTGTGGCAGGTGTGAACAACCACTTCATAAATTTAATAAATAAGTAGTAGAGATATAAGGTTCAAAAAAATGCAAATAAATAGAATATATTTAGTAAAAACATACGTACGTAATATCTACTATATTTAAATAAAGAATAATTAATAAATATATGAACGGGTACTTGTATACAATTTAATAATCTTTATGTATTTTCCAAGGCACGTGGGTAAAACTCCGTCAACTTCCTGACTCCGAGATGCTGGTGAAAATTTTCTTGAGACGAGAACTTAATAGATATTATACTACCCCTGGATTTGAACCCGCGCCTACGATCTTTAGACACCGAGGCAGTCAAGTTCTGTAAATACTCGAGACTGTCTTACTTAATCTGCATTCGAAGCAAGTTTTCTCATCAGCATCTAAATAATAGATATATTGCCGATGTATGTCTAAATTAGATCGACCCATTTTTAATTTTGCTTTTCGGTCTTTGCATACCAGCTTAACTTAGATCCGGATTTTAGGGATTTCACTTTGTATTACTGTTCTTGTAAGATTATCTCTAATTTAACGGATTTTGCGAAGTTAACTCTGTTAATATTATGATTTCTTATATTTACGCGAACACTATACATTGATTAAAACTACTATTACGGATTTCAGTCACATCAGTCCCCCGTGACCATGGGTGCTGGAAAGCACCCGAAACGTCGAGTATTAAAATTAATATAAATAAAACGCGATAAAACCCGTAAAAGTAGTTTTAATCTGTTAATATTGTTAAATATTGCAAAAGCCGTAGTAAATAGCATTAGGCCAATTCCTTTAAATTTAATGTTCGATCCCCAACAGTGCAAAGTAATTGTAACCGTAAAAACAAAATTAATTTCTGATTTGGAAGTAATAAAAAACTTTCATAAAGTTAGTTAAAGTTACAGTTTATTTAGGTCCCGCTCATCGGCACAGGTCTCCGCTCATTTCTGAGAGTGTTTTTGGGCAAGGAAGTGTCCGCCACGCTGCCCCAATCGTGTTGGCGAACGTCACGTCTTCCAAATATTTGACACGCAGGTTTCCTCAAGATGTTTTCTTCACCGCCAAGCAGCGCTTAAAATTGCAATTAACAATTTCATTGGTGCCAGTGGGGATCGAATCCGGGTTGCTCGTGTACTGTGAAATTTACAGCGAGTTATTGAGTTACCACGGCTCCAAAAACTTGCATGTCTGATTCAAATTCAAAGTTATTTGTTATGAACACAATTTAAATATGACGTATAATAACGTATATTTTTATTTTAAGAGCTATTCCTATCGATGGCCCCTACGAATAAACGTGCAATCGAAAAACGACAACTTTTCAGGAAGATATAAAAACGTTTGGAATCACATAACTTTAATTACATAATAAATAGACAAATATAATGTGTGATCAAATTAAAGATAAAAAACATATCTTTCAGCTCATGTATTTATTATAAATGAAATATTATCGGTTTACTACATTATTTAATAAAAACCGTATTAAATTATTATTCTAGTGAATAATATGTGACTTGTTAACATTATTGTATCACTGCACGTTTATTCGTGTCATAAATGAAGCTTAAACAAGTGTAGTGAAATGTTGCATGGTTATTCCACGTATATTTTTTTTTCCCTAAGCCTTGCTCTGGTCATCTACACACTTATTCTTGTATATTTTGTTGCTTTTACTTATTTGTAAAGATAAGGGCCGTATATTTGTGTTAACAAGATCGACTTAATATTTATGTAATACGACTTTATTAGTGCATGGTATATAATGTAAATTAGCTATTTTTTTGTTGAAGGTTGATTAAAAAATATTGTTAATAAGAATAATTACTATTTATTTATCCAATTTAGAACGAAGTAGGTACTTATCAAGTATATTATTACTAAAACAAAAACAAGAAAAATGTAACAGAAAACAACTAATAAGTGGTTAATAATTCTATAGTTATATAAATAATTCTCCTCGTCACTATCGTTGGTAACTGAGGTGGAATTTAATGGCACTAGATTTCTGTAAAAACACTGGTAATGGTTTAGTATGGCTCCCCGAGTCACACAGACTTATTAAATCTCTATATAAAGGAAGAGGTATGGGCAGCATTCCAGTGTGTTTGTGTAGTTTTAGGTTTTCAGCGTGTTCTATAGGTTCCCCTCGTCACCTTCGTGAGTTAGTCCTCGTAATAGCTTGCATCTCTTGTAATTCGTCTTTAAAACTGTATCTAAAGTAAACTGTATCAGGTTGATTATAAGGAAAAACTACTTCTTTAATTTTGCTCCAGTAAATTTTATTACCATCTGTATCTTTTAACCAATTCTTCCCTTTAATTAATTCTTTAAAATCTATGAAATCAGCTTGCGTCATTTGTTTTACTTGATACTTATGCCCGGTAACTTTGGCATTCTCTATCAAGGAATACATTTGATCTGGTGTGTAGATAGTATGCTTTTTCTTAGAACGCTCAATAGCAGCATGCATAGAATCGCCCTCCGATTGGCTATGACCTTTCTCCAAAAACCTATGTGTAATTTTATGTTGTATTTCTTCGCCGCTAAAGAAAACATGGCGAATACGAAACGATTACGATTTTGCCCTGCGCATGAATCAGAATAAAAGGATATGTTTTTTATTCCTAATTCAACGTGTGCCTGGATAAATGACCAAAGACAACTAGCTATTGCTATCGCACCTCTTTTCGCAATTTGACAATGCCAGACGTAGCAGTAACCTTTCTTCTCTAAGATATTATAAATCGTGAAATTGTATACAGGATACTTTCGTTTATAATGAAATATGCCTACTTCACTTTGGGGGATATTTAAAACTTTTTCCAGATCAAAACATGCTACAACACTGTCACCTGAACAAAATTTTTCCTTTTCTTGTTCCTTTAATTGCCTTACCATTTGTTTTTCATTCAAGTGCTTTTCATAGTCAGCTTTTAACTGTTCTTTTCTTACATCATCAGAAGTTTGGTAAATTGAACATATTTCACATAAATCTTTTTTAGGTTTGTGAAAGTATAGGTAAAACTTCGTATTAAATATTATTTCATACTGCCGTTTAGTTGCTTTGCATGTTTGATTGTACTGGTGGTTTGTATCTATCCATTCTAAATATAGTCGGTGCATTTTAGAGACATTCAATGTTTCACACAGATATTGCTTTTGACTATCTTTACGAGTATAGTGTGATTCAACTCTTTCAAATAGATTTATATGGTCAATTATACTTTTCTCAGTCTCTTCTGACATTCTTCTTGGCCCATTCTTATGAGTTCCTCTGTAATCTTTTAAATAATTGTCATCTCCCAATTTATAAATAGCTGTGTATACTACTTGCTGTGTAATAGACAAGGTACTTAAAAACATAGTTTTACAAACTTTAATCATGGAATTAGTATCATCGAATAGTTGATATGTTAATATTTGAGTACGATTATTTTTACGTTCAACAGTAATTTTTTGACGTTTTCTTTTTTTACATGGCGGTTAATAAAATCCCACTGTCTTTCATGTGCCCCGATAGCCCAAAAATTTTGAAAAATTTTACTCCTCATATTTTGCTGTACCTTTTCGTAAAATTTCAGTTTGCAGTTACATGGTGGACCTATAGATTTTTCTACGTTTTGTTTTTTAGTTCTAACACTTTCATAACTTTTACCAGAATTTTTAAGAGTTTTATTTTTGCGATCTTTCCATAAATTAGGATCTATTTTTCTCTTTTTCGTAAGCGGTTCTATAGGAGTGACGGGTCTTTCCTCCGATTCTGTAGTTACAATATCCTGTGATATATTTTGTGTTTCAATATTATGTAAAAAAACCCTCTAAGTCGGAAATATTTCTTAGATCGTAATCATTATTAATGTATAAAACAGTCGGTGTGGCTATAAAATCTACTTTTTGTTGGGTTGATGGAGTCATTACAATGGAATTATCAGTAGTCTATAAATCATCATTATTATTTACAGATTGCAATGGAGTAGGGTATTCCATTTCAGGTAGTAATGATTCAATAACATTATGAGAAATATCTAAAATGTCATTTGTTGGTAAATTTGGTGGTGAGGTATTATTATAATTTGGAGATACATTTACTACTATTAATGGAGCCGATGTAATAAAATCATCAGGTTCTGAGTTGACTTCCTTGAGGTCTGATATGCCATCAATGGGGAAAGAACTTCGCGTAAGATATGTGAAATTTTCTGAAACAAATTTCTCAAATGACGACATTACTATGTTTTCAATAACTATTTATTTACATTTACACTCAGCCCCTCACCCCCACGCAGCCCTTGGTAAGTTTTGAAATATATATATATATAAATATATATATATATATATATATATATATATATATATATATATTATATCTAACCAACAACCAAAGAAAAAGTTTCGTCATTCTCACCTTTAATTTAATTTTGTTCTTCAAGTTCGATACTACTGTCATCTTCATTAATAATATTGTCTGAAAAAAAAGTACTTAACATGGATCAAAAAATGTTTACTCGATACAATATCAGCTGAGCCTGTAAAAGCAAATAATCCTTCTAAAGAGAATAGTTACATAATACATAAGACAATAAATTAGCTAAATAATAGGCAACCGCCACGCGGTGCCTGTGTCAGGTGATTTTCGTTCTTATTACATTTAACTAAAATGGTTGTCGGAGTCCACATAACATGATACCACACATTGTTATAAAGGGAAAGAATAATAAGAATCCAATTTCCATTGATTAAAGTGTGTATCCTATCCTCTTACTTACAAAAGTAGTTAATCAATAATAATATGTAGGTACATACCGTGTATCCCATAGTTCACCAATTTTAATATCTTTCTGCAACAACTTGAAGTACCTCTGTGTCTATTCATAATTATACTTATCACTCATTAATGATTTAATAAGAATATTAACAACAATGGATGTGCTCAGTAAACAAACGAAATTACATAATAACTCGAGCAAATTCGCATCCGAAGTGACCTTCCGGGGTCTAGCGATGTCACGCGCATCTTACATACCCCGCCCCCGCTTCGCCCCTTTTGTAACGAGCGATTGCAATAGACACTATTGGGAAAGTATCCGTTTATTAATCGGTTACTACCAATAACTTCAAATTCATGATCGAATAATATTAGGGCTTAAACTTTACAAAAGTAGAAAAAACAAGAGAAAATCTTAAAAGACAATAGCATAGCTGTAATTATTATATTCATAGTTTTGCCGCCTGCAATGATGCATTACTGATAAAAGTCGCTTGCGTTTTTACACGAAAAATCGTGCAAGAGTTATTACCCAAAGGAAAGGAAAGATGTGGCAGAGTCACGTTGCAGCTTTATTATGATTCCAGCATGCATTGGTTGGCATGACCTTGAAGGACCGCGCTCCTATGTAATAACAACGTAAATAGTAACTTAATGCTGCTGTTTTATTATGATCGTAGAGAACCGAAGACCTTTTTGCTGGAAATGAGGCGCGCGCGAGGAATAATGGAAATATTAGTTTTCTGGGGTGACAACGCATCTGCATTTTGGTTTGTAATCGAGGATAGATGTAGATGTCTATGGGCCACAGCAACCACTTACCATCATAGACTGTGTGCTAGTTTGTCACCCTTATCCTATAAAAAAGGCAAATGTCCCCCCCTATGAAGCCATCAATGGGGGCATGACTTTGCTTAGCAGTGGACTTGAATAGGCATAACGGTAATGGTAATAATCATTACCCTAAATTCCATTATTGTTATATAAAAGATAATACATCAATGTATCGTTCAATCAAGAAATTCCTACACACAATATTCAGAATTCATTCTGAATAATATTCAGAATTCATTCTGAATATTGTGTGTAGGAATTACTTGATTTTATATGTGGTAGGACATCTTTTCTGCCCGGGAGTCTATCAGATTAAAAAAAACTGTCAGTCGTAAGACTGCACGTCGGAAGTAAATACTACGTAGCTTCGTGTATAAACATGATTTTTGGGTTGTTAAGAAATATTTTTAGGAAGTATTTTTTATTAGAAATTATTTTTATCAACGTATTTATATAGTAATAAAATTTTCACTTACTGCGATGTTTGATATAAAAAAATAATGATTATTATCTATATAATACAAACAAATTAATAAATACATATAAATTTTATAAAATTTATCAATTGTAATTTCAACATTACTTTCATCAATTTTATCTCTGTGAGCGTGACGGTCACACGATTTCAATGCTTTTCCCTATCCCTAAAGTGCCCAAGGTGCTTAAAGATGTTTTCACTTTTTTGTCGACATCAACGACGAGCAACGATCCTAGATGGAAGTTTATCAATCAAATTGGTGATATATTGAAGATAGGTCAAGTTAAGTGTACCTTTTATACCCTTAACCGACGACCATGAATGCGTAGAATGTGAAAGAAGTGCCAAATGAGACTTCATAGTCCCTGCCTACCCCTTTGAGTGACAGGTATAAGAGCTTATGTTATTTGGTGTTTTATCAGCGGAATATTTTTTTTACATGGATCATGTTAATTATTTGCTAAATCAAATGATCAAGTAATTTTGGATTTATAATTATAACATAGAGACAATCAAAAATTGTCCGTGGCGCAGTGGCTTAACAATTACCTGACCAAGTAGAATCCCGCACAGAACAAATATTTGTTTGGCCTACAAATAATTGTTCGAAGTCTGGATGTTTGCCTACTAAAATTTAAGTATGTAAACGGCACCCAAGGCACAGGAGAAAATCCGATTTGAGGAGGTAACGTTCCTATAAAAAAAAGTAGGAATCACTAATTACTATTTTTTGCTTAAAATATGTACTCTATATTACTTTCCTCGGGTGTCGTGTTAGATTATGGTAAATGTTATCATACTATAATATACCCATCATATTAACGTCGGACATAAAATATCAATACTGGTGACGGGCAGCGGCGTCCACGCTGCAGAGCTCTGGACGGCGATCGTTAATCCATCTACCGAGCGTAACGTCTGCCAACATAATACTAACATGTTTTGCACTCTCATGTATTGCTACAAATATATGATAACACCAGAAGTGCATGTTATTGCATCCAACACATAGTCCTGACCACGCACCCTCATAGTTTCAATTGTTTCGGTTTCTTCAGAATTCTTTGGGTAGTGTTAGGTTAACATCAAGAGAGGACTGTCAAAACAACTTGTTACATTTTTTTAAATCAAAAATCCCAACACTTCTACAACAACGGGGTTATGTCACTACTTAGAAGTAATATAACGGTGGTTAAATCAATTAATGCTCTCATAACGAGAGAGGCAAACCTATAGCCGTGGACATCTCTGGAGAGATATTTAAGTAAAAATATTCCTATAATATGGACATTCATATGCACAGATATTTCCGGTAATTATGGTTGGAATAAGCGATTACACTAAACCACCATCAGACATAATACATCTTAATATAATGGTTGGCTAGAATACGCTTGTTTTATATCTTAAGCAGATGCGTTATAATTGCAAATTACTGTGCATTTCGTTAAAAACTTTTTTTTGTATATTCTCTCTAGTGTAAATTTACCATATTAAGGACGATATAAGTGTGATAAATCCCTTATCATCTTGGTTTATCATTACCTAACATTAATTAAAGTAATCAGCATCACACAAAAAGCAGAGTCAACATAGTAAAGGAAAGACGTGGCAAACGTAGCATCAGACGCCTCGAAACTTTAACGTGAATTCTGGTCACCGGTCAACATCATTTTACGTCTGGTGTAAACGAGGTGATTAAATTGGGATCTATTAAAAGTCATTAAATCGTTCTGGAGTTTCTCATAATAGCCCGCATGCCGCCACCAAACGGAAAAACTTTAGTCAAATTTAAACTTAAACTATGTATACTATTCTCGCAAGTTCCGCTAATATTGTAAATAATTTCCTCCTAACCAAATTTCGGTCTCAGCAGCCAGTCTCAAGTCTCAAAGACCCGTCATCTGCATAGGAAAGAAATGTAGTGACTGAGTGTATGCGCAAGCACAGGTGCATTCTCTATTCTCCTACTCGTAACCGTAGTCCGGTGGAACGGCAATCCGCCACGATACCGAAGAGATATCTGGCGCAGGAACAAGCTTAGGTGCTTTCCGAGGCACGGCTGTGAAACACCGCAACTTCCTGACAAAAACTCAATAAGTGATTTTTACCAACTACTAGACCAACGAAGCAGTCGCACTGCATATTTAAATTTAAATAAAATAAAATTTTAATAATATTTTATCACGTGTTTGGTGACGAAAAACGCAATGCAGCGGAGTAAAATATAGTATTAACGGATGCTGTAATTTTAATCAAAAAATAGATTTTTTTATGTATCGCTCATAGCGCAAAAATTTACAATTTTAGAAATTAACAAAACAGAGTAGATGTAAATCATTCATTCATAACCTCATAAAATCCAGTACTTAATTTCTCGAATATCTCATTCGTCTCGTCAAAGTTACCGTACCATGAAGTGCCGACCGTTTAGCTCCTAAAATGAGCGCGAACACTTTACGAGTAGCTACAGTAAACTTAACCTATTACGAACAATGTAAAATTTTGCCCGAGTTTCTTTTGCTTTTTCTTGAAATTTTGTAATTTTTTTAGTAAACATTATCACTTTGCCGATTAGAAATTTTTGTTCATAAGTGACCCGAAATTGAAAAAAACAATTTATAAAAATGACATCAGCACCTCTGGATCTGGTTTTTAGCATTGGCCACCACTGTGCGATTTATTAGGAGTTTTCTTCCTCGCACTACTTCGTTGTGAAACGTTCAACAAAACGAGTTTATTTCTCTTTTGAAATTAACCATTTCAAAAAAGCCACTACCAATTATGGCGACTACGGCCAATATTCCAAACACGTGTGAGAATTATAAACTGTTTAAGGGTATAAGTAACTATGGCACTAAAAACATTAACAATGCATGTATAATATGCATTCATAATAATTTTATTTTTAGCAAACATAACGCTATTAAAGATTTCTAGCCAGCCATAAATTACATCGTGAACTCATCATTATATATATATTTCTCCCATCGGTTGTCGGTTCTCAAGTTATATGGCCAGCCCATTGTCACTTAAGCTTAGTGATCCATTGGGCTGTGTCGGTAACTCCGGTTCTACTGCGAATATCCTTAAATGAAATAACATATAAAAAACATTAAAAACGTTACAGAATGAAGTAAATAAAGTTAC